GTGAGCGAAAGCCCCAGCTTAGCGTGAGCTGAGGCCGGGCAAGAGTGAGCTGAGGCGGCGGGATTGAGAACGGCGGTCCCGGCGGATCCGATGAAGGAGCGGTGAAAACGGTGAAAGCCGATCCGGTGATCCACAGCGCAAAGTTGTAGTATTTCCTCAGCACCAGTACAGATCAGCTCTCAGGCATGACGAAGCCATATCGTCCTCTTTTGGAAGGCCAAACAAAGAAATTTCGCTTTCACAATGAAACAGCGTCTCCACGACATGGCGGCGGCAACAACAAAACTACAGCGAGAATAAAAGTTACGCCTTCTTTCTTTGCGTGAACATTTGGGTGGCGTTATGCAAATCTTCCCACATCGTGACGTAGATATGTGGGGGCGTGTTAGAACGAGCCATTTTAGGTAGGCGTGGCTGACTCTTAACTTTTATAAAGAATATCTCTTTGGATTTGAGACTTTAGTCTTTGCAACTTTACAGATCTTCTTTATGTACCAAGAGCTTGTAACACTCCAAAGAGAAAGGAAAAATTTAATTCGCATCATATGACCCCTTTAAATGTCCTTTTCGTAGTGTATGAAATCACTCAAACCAAGATTAATATCGTTGTTAATTGAAATAAATCTAAAATAAAATATATTAGAGCATAAAAAGCACAAAAATTACTAAAACAGAAACTGAAATAAAAATAAATTAAACCTAAATAATGAAAGCACAGAACAAAATGACTAAAAATTGAACTAAAATGAAAATGAAAACTGAAAATATAAACATAAAAGCTAATTCAAAATATTGATAAAACTATAATAGTATAAAAATAATACTAAAATAACACTTGTTTCTGGCCACTTTCATTGTAAAACAAGCAATTAATTTATCAAACACTCACGTCCCCAAGACCTCCTTGAAATCGTAATTTTCCTTGATGTCATTTGTCTTCTTTTTCCATCCATTTTCATCCTCTCCTAAAGGCATTGTATAGTTGATTTCCACTCAGGAACTTAAAAAAAAAAACAGAAGTAGAGATCAATTAATAAATCAATGAAAGTCAATTCAATAGAAAATTAGACATAGAAACAGAAAAGAGAAAACAATGTTGCAAAAAAACTTTATCGTTCTTGGTGTGAACGGGGCTTAACTATAAAGATAACGATATAGTTCTAAAAAAAATCGTTCTCTTCTCAGTATTAAAGAATAGCAGAGTCCACACCACAACTACAACGATAATGGCACAGAGGAACGATATCGTAGGAATCACTTTCAGAACGATTTTTTCCAGCTGATGAAGGATAAAAATATTGACAGCCAATCAGATTCAATCTTGCTGTCAGTGTCACGAGCTTGAGAATTTAAAGCGGCAGACGAGCGTGCGCTTAGAAACAGACGATATCGTTCGCTGGTGTGGACGCTAATCTCTTTATCTTTATAGTTATAGTTCTTGGTGTGAACGGGCCTTTATTCATTGTAATCTTTGTCATCTTTAAAGACATTTAAAATAGATAAGCACTGGTCATATGATAAGTTTGATTGTTGTAATTCTGGAACTTAGGCTATATAAAAAAAAATGTCTTCTTTCACTGACCATTTGTTGACAAAGAACAAAAAATATCGGCTCAGTTATACCCTGTTCGTAGAAACCAAATCAAAGGTGGCAAAATAACAAACAAGCTTCAGCAATCCATTGAACTTGTACATACAGTATATACATCAAATATATAAAATATATCATGCATATATCATACCTTTTATCCTGTCAACATTCAGTTAAAGTACAAGTTAGATTTTTCAGATCTGTGCAACAAAGTACAAAAAGTACTTTTATTGTATTATTTTTTGACCTGGTACCAAAGCAATGCAATGGTGTTTTAACATGTATATAGTAATTCCATGCTATACCATGGAATATTAATATGACAATCATTCAAAACCATGCTATACCATCAGTACCTTAGTACTACCACATTACTTTTACCAAAGGAATACACATACGACAAAACAAGGGGAAAAATCAGCTATGAACAGCTGTTCCACAAATAAATTGTAAACATGCAATACACAAAACCCCTTACCAATATCTGAAAGTGTTCCGCATCTCGAGTCATTGAACAAGCAATGCGCTATGCAAGTGGATGCATATTGTTCGTGTATGAGTGTGTGTGTATTCAGACACTGCGCATAGATGCGCATGCAGGAGTCTGTTGCTACCTGCGCTAATAATCTTCTAAGAACAGACAACGAAGCATTAACATGAATTGACTGGAAACAGATAAAATGTTTGTTTTAAATCGACGTTATCTTACACAGAATCCTAATATGCAACATGAACTTGTAATAACCACATCATGCATGAAACCTTGCAGTGGCATTGCAGAAGATTCTGATACTATATTAAATCAGTTCATACACTTTTACAGCTGGCTTCGAGGAAAACTTAAATACATGTGATACCTGATTGTCTGCTCCTACGGACAGATGATCCTCTTCTGTCTCTTTATCTATCCGCAATTCTCTTTTGATGCAATAGTTGCGGGATCTACCCTGACGTCAAGTAGCGACTGCAGGAGGCGTCTTTCATTTGACAATATAATGATACAGTCCGGATGCTATGATACTATTCCCGAGAGCCATTCGCAAAACCTTATAGATTTATAAGCTATTAAGTTTTGTAAGTAGATGAGTTTTGAAAACGCCTGCTGGACCACAATGACAGGACATTAAAAAATTACAGTCAGTACATTAAATAAATAAATAAATATCCCCTCAAAATTATTTAAAACACAAAAAGGTACATTTGTGTCACCTTTTTGTACATTTTAAATTTTGTCTGAGGTTTATATATATAATTTATTTATGTCTTATATCTAAATCTTATTTTAATTAATTAATGTATCAATTATGTTTATTAAAGCATGTTCATTTTGTGGCCTAAAACTCTTAGCGTTTTTAAGCAAATAATTATGAGGTTCCATTTGTGTCAAAAATGACTACAGTTATTGTCAGTGTCTACAGTCATTGCCTACTTGCTCAGGTAAATGAGTATATGTTGGCGTGTATATTGTCTGTTGGCGTTGTCTTAATCTGTCGTCCTGCTTGCTTTTTCTCTGTCGTTTAATTACTGTCGTCCTTATTGTCATTTTGTTCTATCGCCTTGTGTCGTCCTAACTGTCATCTTATTCTGTCGTCCTTACTGTCGTCCTAACTGTTGTCTTATTCTGTCGTCCTCACTGTCGTCCTAACAGTAATCTTCTTCTGTCATACTTTCGTCTTTACTGTCCTCCTAACTGTCATCTTATTCTGTCCTCTTTACCGTCGTCTTGTTCTGTCGTTCTAACTGTCATCTTATTCTGTCGTGCTTAATGTCGTCTTGTACTGTCATCTTAACCTTCATCAGCGCTGTAAAGTTAGTTTCACATTTCATATTCGACTAGGCTGCTTTAGGGACCCTCTGCAAATTTACCTCACAGTACAAAACGAAGTACAATAATTAATTCAAATTAATGTTAAGGAAAAAAACTACTGTAATTCACCAAAAAAAAAGGCTTTTTCATGTTCCAAAGGTTGTAATATGGACCTAGTTACAAAACTTACGAGTTTGCCAATATCTCCCTTACTGTATGTACAACAGTGCACAAAATATTTTATGAAAAAATTACAGTAATTTACCAATAGGTTTTTTTCATGTTCCAGAGGTTGTAGTATGTTCCTAGATACTGATTTTGGCAGTATCTCTTGTCATATAGGCCTATGTACAGTAACAGTACACAATTATTTTCATAAAAATTACTGTACGCAAAGTTTTTTTGTAGTTTGTAGTACATTTTCAGTTACAAGACTGACTTATGATTTGTGAAATTTAGCTCATACCTCCTTTACTGTATGTACAGAACACAAATATTTTTAGAAAAAAATATAGTAATTTATCAATAGGTTTTTTTATGTTCCAAAGGCTGTAGTACATTCCTAGTTATGAGACTGACTTACTACAGGTGATATTTTGCCAATACCTCCCTTACTGTACATACAGTACACAAATATTCTTAGAAAAAAACTACTGTAATTTACAAAAAGGATTTGTTCATGTTCTAATATTTCTAATGCATTCCTAGTTACAAGACTGACTTACTACAGGTGAGATTTTCCAATATCTCCTTTACTGTATGTACAGTGCACAAATATTTTTAGAAAAAGGTTGTAGTGTTTTCTTATTTACAAGACTGACTTACTACAGGTGAGAGTTTGCCAATATCTCCCTTACTGTATGTACAGTACACAAATAATAATAAAAAAACCTACAGTTTTTCACCAAGAGGGTTTTACCATGTTCCAAAGGTTGTCTTATATTTAGTCAGTTTTGCCCACTAGTAATTTACCAATAGGTTTTTTTGTTTTGTTTCATGTTCCAAAGGTTGTACTACAGTAATTTTTATGAAAATAATTGTGTACTGTACATATATGACGGGAGGTATTGGCAAAATCTCACACGTAGTAAGTCAGTCTTGTATCTAGGAACATACTACAACCTTTGGAACATGAAAAAAAACCTATTGGTAAATTACTGTAATTATTTTTTTTCATAAAATATTTGTGCACTGTACATACATTAAGGGAGATATTGGCAAACTCATACGTTTTGTAACTAAGTATATACTACAACCTTTGCAACAAGAAATTTGAATGAATTATTGTACTTCGTTTTGTACTGTGAGGTGAATTTGCAGACGGTTCCTAAAGCAGCCTAGTCGAATATGAAATGTGAAACTAACTTTACTGCCCTGATATAGGTTATGATGACAGAACAAGACGACAGTACAGACAAGACGACAGAATAAGATGACAGTTAGGACGACAGTAAAGAAGACAGAAAGGACGACAGTAAAGAAGACAGAAAGGACGACAGAACAAGACGACAGTTAGGACGACAGAATAAGATGATGGAACCTCATAATTTTTGACACAAATGGAACCTCATAAATAATGGGCTTCCCTGGGAATTTCCAATAAGTGTTTAGAATGCAGCATCTTATTACAGTCTTTCTAAATGTTCCTTGAAAGTAATTAATTAATGAAAAAATGACACTTGTAATTTATATGTATGTAATTGCATATGTAATTTTGTTAATAGTATTTATTTAGTATATTTATGTTGTAAAAGTAGCGTTTTTAATGATTATTATTAATTATAAATCTGTGATGTTTAATAGATTTTTCTTTATTTGGCTCCATTACTTTGCTCTTATATCTATATTTCGTCATTCTTAATTCATTGTAATCTTTGTTCTCTTTAAAGACCTTTAAAATAGATGAACACTGACTGTGTGGATATGTTAAGTTTAATTACGTTGTAATTCTGGAATCTATTCTTAAAATAAAACATCTTATGTAAATGTTTATCCTATCTCGAATTCCGTTTGTTTTAATTTTTCAGTAAGGAGAAAAGAATATTCATTATTTCAAATATTCTACATTTTCGGAAGTAAGGAGAGGCTTCTTAAATGTACTTCCGGTTTCGTATGACGAAGGAGGCGGGACTTTGCTAGCTATCAACGCTACTTGCTGGCTAACAGTTGCCGCTGTGGTGTTACTGAAGGATTATTCCTAACTGCGCCAATAAAGTCGAGATTTTAATACGGGTAGGTCAGCGTATTTCTAAAACCCTTTGTTCTCCAATACGTTTATAAAGCTCAGCAAAATTAATATAAGAAACCGAAGTGCGCTTTTCAAGAGAAGTGAGTGAGTACGAGAGCACACCGCGAGACCGCTCTTTTGTTGTTTGACTGAAACACGGAGCGTCGATTGGCTGTTGGCGTTTAGGGATTGTTTACCGGAAGATTAGCACGCGGCTAAGTATGCTATTCCACATAACACTGTACATGCATATAGTCAAAAGTATAATCGCTTCTGTTAAAGGCTTACTTAACAGCTGATATAAAAGAATGCATATATGGGTGATTAATTAATGTCCACATTTTCGTTTGTCCTCCATTAAGCAGGTCAACTGTGGTTTGTTTATGATAAGTAGCTCATAGGTATTGTAAACAACATTTATTATGGGGAAATTATATATGGTGATTCTCAAAATCTACAGACATATAATACCATCTTTAAATCCTGAAAATCTGCGATAGTTATCGTAAGAGTTCCTTATGTTGTACTCTAAAGTATTCTGCTTTATCTTGAGCTATTCACATTTATTGCATTCAAATGTGAAGTCGTTTTAGGTTTAACTGGTGACATTTGTTCAGTAAAAAGTATAACCATGCAAATGTATAGAATAGATATCAAGGATTGGTACCTGCCATACAAATGGCATTTATCTCCATGAAATAATTCTGAGAGTCTACATCATTTTATTAATACATCTGGAAGAGTCATAGACATTAATTAGTGCTGGAAGCCCGGAGTCTAAAAGGATGTTTGTTGGTGAACAGGTACCATTTCAATGGGCTCTAAGAGAAGACGAGCCACCTCTCCCTTCGGCAGTGCCAGCGGAGGAGACTTTGATGATGCCTCCTCATCCACCCCAGTCAGTGGATGGAAGAGGAGGAGAGCTTCCACTGCTCCTTCTGTTGATCAAGTGAGTACATGGCGTTTAGTATAGTCAAAACAACTTGCTTTAGCTCACAGTTTGGTTTAGATCATAACAATGATCTTGTCAGATTGACTTTGACTATATTTTGTTTAGATTGCTGTGTGCCATGAATTGTACAACACTGTCAGAGATTACAAAGATGACCAAGGCAGACAGATCTGTGAGCTCTTTGTTCGTGTACCAAAGAGAAGGTATGAGTGTATTCCTTGTCTTTTAAATATACACTGTTAGCCAAATGTTTGGACACACTTGCATTTTCTTTTTTCTTTTTTTAATACATAGTATTTTACCATTTCTAAATGGAGTAAAGCCGTAAAACTGAATGCTGGACAGTTTATGGCTGCTTTTACTTCATTGTCTAGTAGTTCAGGGTTATTATAGTCAGCTATAACTAAAACCATAATATTTTCATTACCTGTAATAAAATATGTGTTAATGGAAAAAAATAGAGTATAAAAAATGATTCATTAATGAAACATGAAACTTATATTACATCAGTTATCACAATTATACTTATTTATATGTTAACTAAAATAACATAGAATGTAAAAAAAATAATTTATTTCAGCAAGTTTCCAAGACAACATTTATTAACAGTAAATGTTATTTAACATTTTAAAAAATTGCTGCTGAAACTATAGTCTCTCGTTGATACTAAAATAACACTGGCTCAATTTATCCATTTTATAACATAGTACAAAGTAGTAATTTGTAGTTTTATTAGTTCTGTGTCATTCTTTTTAAATGAATTTCACAATGTGATGAAATAAAAACCATACTGAGTTTAATGCATGCAACAGACACTAACCTACACTTCAACCTCCATTCTTATTTTTCCTGTTTTAGGAATCAGCCTGACTATTATGAAGTGGTAAGCCAGCCCATAGACATGATGAAAATACAGCAGAAGCTCAGGGCAGAGGA